CCAGCACGCTGGCTGGGGGAATTCTGGGAGTTGAAGTCCACACAGCTTAAAACGGCTGAGGTGGAGAAACACTGGTTTCAATAACTCCCATCTTCCCCTGCTTTAGCAGGTGGGGGGGTGGGCACCCTGGATGGACATAACAGCAACTAAATTCCTTCCCCTTTATTAAGTAACGGCAGTTTTAGGGAGAAAAGGTGTGCTACTTCCAAGGAAGCACCTGCAGTACCTGAGACCCACCAGCAGGTGGCAATAGGGTTCAACCTGAAAGGAACTCCTGACAATAACATTGAAATATGGGGGACTGTTGGAATAAAATCTAATTTAAGGGAAAAAAGAAAAGCAGAGCGTGGAAGAGAGCAAGAAGCCCCAAAACAGACAAGATCTATTGATCTTGTTTGGGCATCGATGGGGGATGGATATGGCTGTTTGTTTGGCTTTTTTTAGAGTTACGTTTCTCCTCCTGTTTCCCGTTTCCTTCCTTTCTTCTTTTTGCCTTAAATGTATTTTGTATGCTCCTGTAGGGCATTTACAAGGGGAGGACATTCTTGCTTTCATGTCTCCAGAACCAGTGGAGTTTGGTTTCCTTTTTCGTTTCGTTTCTGCATTTTTCAAACGAGATCTCTCAGAGGCAGCTTGGAACCATGCCTGCTTGAACCTGTGGTGCTTCAGAGACCAAGAGGGGAAAATGAGAAATGTACGGACACTTGAAATATTTATATTTAATTTTAAAAAACATGAGACAAGAGTGAGGCTGGGTTATTTCTCTTCATGCCTTCCGTGGCAGGAAAGGAAATGCAAACACTTAGAAGGTGTCATTTTAGAAAACTGGAGACTGTCGTTCACCATGACGGATGATCTGGCCTACTGCTGTTTGTTCTCTGCCTCTGCGATGCGGTGTTCTACGCATACATCACACAGTGTGCCCCTATTAACCTAGCCTGGGTGGAAATAGAAAGGTCACAGGTACCCTATGCTCTTAAAAGAGAAAGAGGAGACCCATCCAATCCAGATTCTGCACCAAAAACTGAATTCTGAAATCGGTTTAGATTATGCGAATTATAGAGACCATTTCACATTTTCTGCCCTGCCATTTCTGCTATAAAGGACATAGAGCACCTGAAATTACTGGTACCTTGTTCTTTCACATCTGGGGCTTTTGGCATTTCAGACCGTCTATGACCCATTACATTTCAGGATCGTCTTTGCAGTGCATGAGGACTAGAATCTTAACTTTTAAAGTGAAAGGCAGATCTTCTTTGGAAACTAAGGTACAGGTTGCCCAGTTCTGGGTTCTCAAAAGAAAGAAAAAAAACACCCTGAAGAATTTACATTATATCCATGGTCTTAACACAAGAGGGCAGGCTGATACAACTCGAATTTTTTAGAACAAAAACATTCATTCTAATGTGTAACATTTCCTTTCCTACAGAAAAAAAATTCACACTCTTGACCTTCCCTCCCTTTGGGCACAACCGAGCTGTCTCGCTGAGCGGCAGGAATTTCCTCGGGAGGGAGATCGCAGCTCCTGGGTGTCACGCCTTGCATGCCTTAAGGTCTCAGTTTCAGACTTGATCCATTTAAAATCATAGATGTCACAGGATAGCTTCTGCACCTTAAGATCTCAGCGGCCAGTTGTGCTACATCTGAGTCCTGATGAATCATAATGTGATACATTTGCATATCGCTCAGCATGATGTGTGACCGCTGCAGTTCCTCAATTACATTTATGGCTTCTGGATGTGAAGCTGGAGGACGCTGTGGTTTGTTCAGCAAACCAAAGGTTGGACACATGATTTGTTAGGATGTATAGAGCTAGCAAGAGAGGGCAGAGGAATCCCTGGTCTTCAGTTGGAATATTTTCCAACCAGTCTTTATCCTGCAATTGTGTAATTTCCCCCGGAGAAACTCATTCCACTTCTGTGTTTGCCACTTATAAAGGCTGTGTTTTCCCCCATTGCCCAAATAGCTGGTAAAGGTGGGGAGCCTTTCTTTCATTTAAAAGTTATGTCATTTCCGAGTTTCATCATTGCTGGAGAAAGGTACAGCTTTCCCCAGTGGGATGTCTTCAGATGTTTTAGGACTTCAGTTCCCAACATTCCAAGCCAACATGGCCCAGGAATTCTGGGAACTGAAGTTCTAGTGCATCTGGAGAGCCCCAGAACCGAGAAAGCTTGCTTAGCAGACAGTGATTTTTCTACTGTACAGCAGGAAAGGAAAAGAAATTATATCATTCAGCAATCCGCACGCTACACAGTCTCCTTCTTAGGGCCTCTCAGCACATACGTACACGTGCACATATTTCACAGCAATTCTGGTGTGCCACTGTTTCTAATACCAGATGGGCTGATGTCACACTATCTTAACGTCTGGGAAAAAAATAGAAGAGAGAATGAGGTATTGCTGACTCTCTCTGCTTCTCACTAGCATAATCGGCCACACTTCAGTGGTTTAAATGGCTTCATTGTGATCTTGTTATTGTTGCTGCTAGCCAAATATATTATTTTTCATCACGGCTGTATACCAAGGGCTTGTGAAATGCTTCCCATGGTGCACTTGGAGACTTTGGGGACGAAGATATAAACGACAATGGGTTGGTACACAACTCACAAACAAAAGGGGCAGTTGATCTTCAGTCTCATTTCAAATCTCTTTGCAAACCCTCAACTCAGAAAGCAAGTTGTCCCTTTCCCAGTAGGCTGGAGTGTGAGTTGAAGGACAGAAGAAAGGAAATCAAAAGGAGAAGGGGGGGAGGGATGTCGCCACCCACTTTTCCTTCAGGCTCCTCCCATTACTGTCATAGAATGTGGGGCTTGGAAAATTACTTCCGTAGGAATTTGGCCTTCTAGTGAAAATAAAAAATAACCCTGTTGAAGGTAAAACTGCCACAGTAATATCCCAGGTGCAACTGAAATTGAACAACTTATATAAACTGGAACATTAGAACTAGATAATCTTTCTTGCATATATAAGTGCACAACAGGAAAACAAAATGCGCAGAAAGAATAAGCCTAACTAGCTACAAATGGCAATTTACAAATTTTCGTACGCGCTAGAAAATTACAGGATAAAAGAATTCCCAGTAATACAGTGGAGTATACACTAAGGCAGTGTTGTCCAAACTTGGCCACTTTAAGATGAGTGGACTTCAAATCCCAGAAATTCCCCCCCCCCCCCCC